CATTTTTCTCTACCAACAAATTGTTCACTTGAAACTGTTCAACATTCAAGTTCATTTCACAGTTCATTTTTTCCATTAGTTGTGTTTTGCCTTTCTTTTTCTCCTTACTGTGTTTCTTTGTCATTTTGTTTACTAAGTCATTACCTCGCCGCTCTGTAGCCTTGACCTGCCGTACAGAGGGCGATCGTTTCACCGGACAGTACCGTGCCATATGTCCGGGTTGTGAACAAGACAAACAAATTGGTCGACCGTCTGCCGTCCATTGGAGTGATGGCTTGGCAGGACGCGGCCGTCCAACCCGTCCCTGTTTTGTACCGTTCTTTTCCTGATTCTCAGCTGTTGACCTGCTTTCCAACCACTTCAAGCGTTGGTCAACCTTCTCTAGGTGGGCCAACAGTTGAGCCATCATGGTCTCCATCGTGTCGGCCCCTGTGGGTGGGGATTGTCTCTGTTCAGGCACAGAGACTTTGTCCACCGAACAGTTCGATTGGTCCTCATCCTCGGACCTGCGGATCGCTGAGTTCCTGACCTGAAGGAAGGTCAACTGCGGGTCTTTGTGGACCTCCTCTTTCAATTCTCTCCTTAAGATCGGGGTTGCTAGCCCCTCGATGAAATGGTCCCTCAGTAGGCGTACATCAATGTCCGGTGATTTGCCCTTTACCAAATCAAAGGCCCTGTTCATCCTGTGTGAGTACTCCATCACACTCTCCGCCATTCTCTGCTTTAAGCCCACGAATCCCGATAGCAGTTGCACTCCCGACCGTCTCTCCCCAAAGGTCTCCATAATCAGATCCAGCACCTTATCTGGATCTGATTGGACGGTCCTATCGTGGCACTTAACCTCTGCCCTAACCGTTTCACCTATACTGCCCATCAGCAGTCTTAATCTTTCCTCTGGTGACATATGTCTCGAGGCCCAGGCCGCTTTGACCTCTTCACTGAACCTGTTGGTTAAAGTTGGATCTCCGTCCCCGTAAAATTTGTTAATATGGGACTCTCTGGGTAGGACCACTATATGGGTCTGCTTCTCGTCCAGAGTAGACATTTTCTTCCTTAAGTACTAAAAAAAAAAGAGTTCTTTCTTACCGTGTGTGTATGAAAAATTTTTCCTCGTTCCTCAATTTTCACAGTTCCTGAATGTCCGAATTCACACACACACTAAACACAGTTATGCACAAGGTTGACTATAGGTGCCTTAAACGGCAAGTCTAGTTGAATTCATCCTGATCGCAGCGCCAATTGTGACGAGCGAACATTTATCCTGCCGACAACGCCAATTGTAACGAGCCAACAGTTACCATGCTCGCAACGCCACATGTAATGAGACCTAATTGCCTGTAGTGCCACGTGTTAACGAGTTTAACCACTCATTCTAGACAACATTGACCACAGTATAGATACTCAAGATGCAGGTTCGCTATTGATCCTTTATTACATGAATCAAGAAATGCTTCATAATAACACAATAAATCAACAGGAATGCTTCTCAATAATAGTCTGAATCAACTGACCCCTAACAGTCCTTCACTAGGCTTTATATAACTGAATCCACATGTCTATAATCCTTCTTAACACAATACGGCTAACCCGTTCTATAACCGACTTGACATAGTCACACAGACTGACTGATCTAAAGCGAGCGATGAAGATGGAAGAGAGCTCGCAAACGGGAAGAGAGCGAGTTCTGCCGTCCCCTCCTATTTATGCCTTGAAATCGTAGTCGTACTTGTCTCCATTTCCGTAATCGATACTTGTAATCGATGTATCCGAATACTAATGTCGCAGTTTCTGACGTACCGTCCGATTCACTAAAACATCTGCATCCCATCCATCAAAGTTGACAGCTCGTCTGAAACTTCTCATACCGTTTCCCAAAATAGCACGCGTTGGCTTTGAGGTTGTTATCAGACCGATCCAATAAGCCACCTGTTATGGTTGCATCAGATTGTAACTGCGTCGCGGCCTCTCGTTCGTTATCATTTGTAACTGGTAGTTAGGCCTACCCCAGTTACATATATATATATATATATATATATATATATATATATATATATATATATATATATATAGAATGGAAAAATAATTGGATTGGTAAAAAAAAGATATTTAAGAAATAATTTTATTTACATAGGGAGTTGTCTTACCATGATTTGCGTCTGCCATCTGAAACAAATGTTTGACAATATACTGATAAAACAAAAGCAACTCTTAAAAAAAAATCTTTCAATTTTTTGTTAATTTTCTATGCATTACAGGGGTCTCCAAACTTTTCAGCCCGAGGGCCGCATTAACTATCAAATATCATTTCGGGGGCCAGAGTTTCTTACATGCATTCTTTAGGGTGGCGGTGTGTGAAACGGTCTCACTTTTTCTGCCTTTGAATCCTAGTCAGAAAACCGCTACTGAAACTGCAGCTTTAGGTCTTTGATGATCTCGCATGAAAATGATGTGGGGAACTCAGCTATTGCTTCAGCCATGAAGACCTTGCACTGCTGAAAATGCGTCAAGTTGTTGCCCTGTACTTGTTCCAAAAACATGGAACAACTATCTAGCGACTCATCCACTGCAATTTAAAGATTGCGAAACTTGTTAGCAGTTTCCACTATTTCAGTGACAATGTTTTCATCAATGTCTGCAACACGGAGGGCAATGGTATTTGCACCTAAAGCTACATTTTCAAATTGTTTTGAATTTTCTTGACAAAGTTCCTCAGCCAGCTCTAACAAACATTTTTTTTTCCGTGAACAAAAAGATCACCGCGGGCCGGATGAGAGGACCTCGCGGGCCATATCCGGCCCGCGGGCCGTAGTTTGGAGACCCCTGCATTAAAACAAAATTTTAAAAAAATAAAAAAAAAAAACTCTTTAAAATATAAAATCCGTCTAAATATTGGGTTTTTAAAAAGGGGGGGGGGAGGGTTAAAAAGGAAATACATTCGGTTAAATGATGTATATTACATTTTTTTTCATGTTTATTTTATAAATTTTTGTTTGTCAATACAGATGTCAGATTAGAAATCAGATCATTAAGTTGTCTTTTACATACTTGAATCCCTGTTTACTATCAGTATATAGAGAAATGGTAATAGACTGACGTGTCATAACCCTGTTTTTTTCTTTAATTTTAGGAAAATGTGTACTTAAAAAAAATGTAGGCCTTTATCATGCAAGTTAAACTGCTAGTGTAGTAAATATACATTTTAATTATGGTACATGAAATGTAAATTCATACTGCTAGACATAATTTTTTTATTTTTTTTACGGAGGTGTAGCTGTAACATTCATAAAATTTTATGATAAATTATAATTCAATTTAGATCAAGCAATTTAGTTTGAGATATGGACTAAATTCCGCCAAGATGTGAACTTAACACCTTTAAAATGATAACCTTGACCTCACTTGCCTTTCACAGAAGGCAAGTTCTAACAGGAAAGACGACAGAGTGCCTTATTGCTATTTCCAAATTTTAATTGCCGTAATATTAGATACTAAAAATATGTTCACCTTCCAAATTTAAAGCACAGTATTGTAGTAAAACTATACATGTTTTATAGATAGGCTAGTATGTTCGACATACTCAAATAGGAAAACTACGTGTTTTTTAATACAATGACTGAACCTCTTCTTACATTTTCCGACTCTTTCATTACTGTTTTCATAATAACTAAAGGAAATTAATTCAGCGTAGTAAATCGCTTGTGTAAACTGTTGTTTGTAAATGTAAACTTTACCTGTGATGTGTCCTTTCAATACTTTTTCTTTAAAATCTGTGACAACTTTATACAGCTGATTACTTTAAGAAAAAAAATGGCTGCTATATAAAATAATAACGGAAAATTCCTAATTTAGATTTTCCGAAAAGTGTGCTCCTTAAAATATGTATTGATTTTTTAAGCATTTTTTAATGCAACAAAAACTATTACCATGTAATTTTCAAAACAATTTAAAAAATAAAAATAAAATGCATGTTATAAGTTAATTGTAACTGATGTCTAAATGAAAACAAAATCTGTAATTAATAGTTTTGCAAATTACAATTTAAAAAGCGCTTACTAATAATGCCTCTTTTCATTACTTTTTATTTTAAATTTTCTGGCCAAGAGTACCTGGTTCCAACTATGAGATGACTTTAAGAAATAAAACAAATTACCACGGTTCTAAGTATAATAAACGAGAATTATATAGGATATTTTATTCTTTTTTTTTTAGGCCAGGAGAGTTTCCTGTTGAAGAAAAATGTATTTTTACACTTAAATTATAGGTATTACTATTCAAACACCATATAGCTATCCGTTCTGAATATTTTAAACTTTTAAAGCCATCATTTATCCTTTGAATTAGGATGTAAAACAATTTACTGTTTTTTGTGTAATTTAAATAAAACCTCCGTTTTTATTTGAAAATTAGGTCCATACAAAAGCAATTGTTTTTTTTTTAAATATCATTTTTGTGAGAAATTTTCTGTTAATTAGGATTAAATACTTTTACTATTAAATATTGATTTAGTCCGTTAAAATATTCTACGTAATGAAAATTCATTTCTATTAAATTACAAATTACAAAAGAGCCCATATAAAAAGGGCCGACATAACATAAGGCCGACAGGTTATAAAAGTAAAGTTTCCCTTTCAAATCTGACGGTCTATGGGGCAAGAGTAGTAGAGTTCACTTGGTTCTGTGACCTCGGCATATGAAGAGATAATGTGGCCAGCACTATGCCTAGCCGCCTTTACTTTCCCTAACGTGAGTTAGGTACCCATCAGAGTTAGGTGAAATCAGGGACGGTCTACCGACTTGAATTCGAACTGATTCGAACTGGGTTAGCAGTCCAGCTCTCTACCGCTAGACCACTCCGTCCCTGACAAGTTGTAAAGCTGGCATAAATGAGCCGTGAGGTAGTCGGACAGTGCTGCCGTCCAAGAGGAAATTGTGAATGATACTTTTATGATGGAGATTACAGGGGAGTCTTAGAAACAGAAAAATACACAGGGATGCGATAATATCATCACGTGTCACCATTTAATTGAAGAAAACAATTAATTGTGTACATAGGTTTACGTAAACTTTTAATTTTAAATGCATGCAAGATAAAACAAAAAAAAAATCGAAATATATTTTAGTATAAGGAATTAAAATCTGTAGTCGTATCTTATTTATCTTTTGGGCGTACAACATTTTAAAGGTTTGAAAAGGTGTTAAATTTTAACTCCTTTTGCTGTTTCAATGGCAACCAGAGTTGATATCCCGACAGTAACCTACGTGTAAAATACGTATAAGATTTAAAACAAATCTATAAAAATCGTAGGAACATAACAACAGTAGTAAAGCTTTAGTTAGGTAGAAGAAATTTTAAATATAACTATTACATCGTATAATTAGATTACAATTACAAATAAGTGACATCCAATATCCGAAAGTAGGCTTGTTCTGAACTCTATTTATGGGTTCAAAAATACCGTTTTAATTAGGTGCGTGAAACGCGTATATAGCTATTAACTCCTGCACGGAGATTACTTTCAACTTTTGAGCAATTTTCAGTAACCGGAAGAGTAGTTTAATCTGTTTCTGATTTCTTAAAAAATTGTAATAATTTTTTTTATTCCCAAAAAGTATATTTTAAGACCTCTGTGTGTTTTCTTTTTCAAAAATGAGCGGTTCGAGTTCTGGACTTTCGGTTTAGTATCCGACATTAAATGAAGACTTTTTAAAATGCATTAAAATATTATAAGTATTTTTAAATATCTAAATAGGTGCTAAAATCTCAAATTATTTTAATGCACTTTCCATTTTTTTTAAAATTATTATAAATAAAAGTCATTTTCCTAATAATGTTATAAATTAAATTGTTGTATTAAACAATAAATATCTACCTAAAAATAATTGTAACGTTATGTGTTTATATATATATATATATATATATATATATATATATATATATATATATATATATATATATATATATATATATATATATATATATATATTCTGTCTCCGTTTACCGTTTTCGTATGTAATACGTTATTAGGAAATGACTAAGAATTTAGCTAGAGAGCTGTCTTGTATGAATAATAAAGTGTTGAAGTTAACTTGAAGAAGTCGCCTGTTTATAATGAGTGATAGGCAACAAGTAATGTAGCAATAATTAAATCAAATTTTCCTCTTAACGGCAAATTTCTTTTGCAATATTAATTCTTGACAATAGACGGAAGACAGGTAAATGATGTGCAAGAGTTTGTCTACCTTGGCAGCAAGATCAGCAAAACGGGAGGCACAGAGGAGGACATACGCGCTAGAGTTAATACAGCCCGCTGCGCTTTCACAGTTCTGCGACCCATATGGAAAAATTCGGCCATCTCCATTACCACAAAAATTAGGATGTCTAGGCAGTTCTGCTGTATGGAGCAGAGACATGGAGAGTCTCCAAAGCAAGCACAGCAAAGATACAGACCTTCATGAATAGATGCCTTAGACAGATACTGAAACTGAGATGGCAGGACAAAGTGCCGAACATAGAACTATGGAGGAAGGCTAGGCAGGAGCCTTTGGGTGTGCAAATAAGATGGAGGAAGTGGCGCTGGGTGGGTCACACACTGCGAAAGGCTCACCCAAATGTTACACGCCAAGCGCTTGAGTGGAACCCCCAGGGAAAGCTGAAGAGAGGGCGTCCAAGACAGACCTAAAGTTGGAGTCTTCTTGAAGAACTGAAGTCAACAGGGATGTCTTGGGAGTCGGCAAAATAGCCGGGGATCGGAAGAAATGGAAGGAAATGGTGGAGGCCCTATGTTCCATAAGGCGCAAAGAGGACAAAGTCAAAAGTAAGTCAATATTAATTCTACAATGGTAGCTCATTACTGATTTGTGTCATTTCAGATAACTATTCTATCTTCATGCTTCCCCACATTAGCATTCAAAACCTAAGTAATAAATCCATCTGTAATCTCTGTCCAAAAGTTTTAAGTTAGTCCATCATCTGCCAATATGTTGTTTTAATTAATAGCTTACTTTACCATAAAAATAAAACAAATTAATACACACTAATATAATGATAATAAAAGCTTGTAAAAATGGGTTTTAAAAATATCAGTTGTAAACAGGTGTTCAATTAATTTAATGACAGTTTTTTTTTATTTATCACTTAGGCTTAAAATTAGGTAGTCAAAATATGTTTGTTATGGTGATTTTATGTAAAAAAAAAAATTAGTGTTTGTAGTTCAGTTATTTTGGGGTTTCTCATTGGAAATTCTTGAACTAAATTCGAAATATCCATTGCACATCTCAGTAAAGTAATCAAGTATGCTGGCATTATCATCCATTTGTCTGCTTGAGTTGATACTTTCCATGCAAGCAACCATGGTGTAGTCTTGTGGATTGAGAATCGCTTCTAGGTTTAATATGCTCTTTTTAACCTATTAGACGAAAGAAAAAAATCTAGTAAACCTTCAAAGACTTGGTTCAAAGCCAATACACATTGGTCAGCATATTGAAATCACATAGTGTAGTATTTTTTTTCAATTTAAAATAACACACACACTTATAGACACACACACGCATATATATATATATATATATATATATATATATATATATATATATATATATATATATATATAATTATATAATTCTCTTCACGGGGACTATGCGAGACATGACCACGTAAATGCACGCCGTTTCTTCCTCGCATATAGCTACCACTCCCCAACCCCACCATTCTGGTGAGCTAAGGTTTAGTTTAGCTATCAGGGGCAGATAATTTAGCTTTTAAACGAATTGAAGCTAAGGAGAGGTAAGAAGTTCTGCTTGATCTTTTATCGTCCGTAAACTGTCATCACGGACTGCTGCTTTCAAGGTGGCGTGGGGGGGGGGGGAGAGAAATGGGAGGGATTGTGTACCTAGTTAATTATAACGAGCTGACCCGCGACGTAGTATATGCCGCCATCTAGTTGTTTTATTTTCTGCTTATCAGCAATTCAGAATTTGTGAATTCAACACTACCCCTTCCCGACCTCCCTCCCCCCCCCCCACCCCCCCCCTCCCATTGAAAGCAGCCGTTTACAGACAAAGAAAAGATCAATCAGAAATTGTTACCTCCCCTTTGTTTCAAATCGTTTAATACTAAATTATCTGCCCCTAATAGCCGTCACTAATCCGGCTCTACGATTGTAAACATTCGGGGTGAACCACAGCTCACCTTACAGGTGGGGATAAGGGTAGTGGCTAAGCTGCGTGGTGTTTTCTATGGTCTCCATGAAGAGAATTATATATATATATATATATATATATATATATATATATATATATATATATATATATATATATAGATTGTTATATAAATATTCTTATAATACATTTTGGAAACTAGATTTAGCATAGTTGAAGGGAGATCTGTTAATAAATTGGCTAAATAGTTACCACGCGAACTTTGTTGTCATCGCCATTGACATCCATAATTTCAATGGGGACAACTTTCTTTTGTCCACTGAGTGGCGAAACAATCCATATTTCATGCATGTCATCTGGGTTGGCTTCTGGGAAGGGAATTCAAAACATCTTAAATTGTCTCTTTTCATTTAATAAAGGCCTAATAAACCACATATTCATGATAATAGAACACTAAAGACATTTTAATATTGTAAAATGGCATGGTGGTGTTATACATACACATTATATATATATTGTGCAGTTCATCCAATCAAAAACCCATACATTAATTTACACAGATTAACTTATATAATAGAGTACCAATGATTCCTAATACTCCGTTGACTGCAACTCATTTAATACTTTATGTATTTGGCCAAGTGAATCCATTAAATAATGTAACTCGAAAATTTTATAATAACTACTCCTTGGGTCGCTATATTTTTCATTTTAAGATATTGTCGAAAAAGTTTTACTAACTTTAAAAATAAATAATTTATTGCAAATTTTTAAATTTCTATTGGATACTTTCTAAATGCTACAACTTTGTAGATGAGTTGGTTGAAAGTAATAGGCTATATACAGTGGCGTAGCGAGGTTGGATGTCATCCTGTGCGGAACTTAATGGTGTCACCCCCAGAGCCGAAGCGAACCTTCCCGGGGTCAAACTTTCAATTTTCAATTTGCATCCCCCCCCCCTCAAACTTTCGATTTGCACACGCCCCCTCAAACTTTCGATTTGCACCTCTTAAAAGACTATTTAACACTCGAATTAATCACTTAATTAAGTGGAATTATCATTTTTCTCTATATATTTTGCTATTTTTTTGCCTTGGTGTCACCCCCCCCCCCCTATATGGTGTCACCCGGTGCGGTCCGCACCCCCCCCACCTCGCTACGCCTCGGGCTATATAATAAATCAAGGGCCTAAGTATTTAAGGTGAGTAGCCAAAACCGATAGTTATGAGGAATTGGAAACATAATTTTTCAACATCTTTTTCAACATATTTTTAAACATGCGTGAGTATTATTGTATTTTTTGTGTGCAAGTCGTACGACAACACTCTGCTGACTGCTCCAGGACTTTCAAGCCTTTAAGAAATAGTCTCTTACAGTATACATTTAAACATATCAAATTTTCGTTGCGAGAACCTGCTGTAACTGAGTTTTAAAAAACACAACTAAACTTGCTAGAAGATATCCACCTACACAACGCCACCTACTTAGCCATATTACAAATTTCTTACTATTGGGGAGGTGGGGGCGGTAGGATTAAGTGGGCCGGTTAAAGTGAAAACATAAACTCAAGGGCTTGGCTTACTACACAGATAAGACGTGGCCTACTTTCGTAGTTTATACTCATAGTACTATTTGAATATAAAACATTTTTAAAGAAAAAAAAATATGAAATAATATAAAGTTATCATACCATGGTTTGGGTTAGCCATCTGAAAAATAAAACATTCTGTGGTTAGGAACTAACAAATGAAAAACAAAATTTACAATGAAAATATTTAGGACTATTCAACATTTTAAACACATCATCCCTGACATTATATGATAACATGTTATACATTAGGGACGGCGTAGCGTAGAGGTAGAGAATCCGGGTTCAAGTCAGTATAATTCCCTTTAGTCCACCCAGCTCTGATGGGTACCTTACACACATTAGGGAAAACAAAGGCGGCTTGGCATAGTGCTGACCATACTATCACTTCATATGCCGAGGTCACTGAAACAGATGAACTCTACTTCATCTGCCCCATGTGTCTTGGACACGAACGGGAAAAAATTCCACAATAACTTTTGGCTAGAATACAAATTAACAGGCCGATAAGCACACGACCAAGTTCTTTCCCTTTTTTCCGGGTACAGTTGGTTTTCTATAATGTATATTTACGAAAACATAGTCGGAAGATTGGCCGTTACTTTGGATGTAAATCCACCTCCGGTGTTTTGAAGGTAAAGTACTTCTAAAATAAAGGCACTCTTAATATGAAATACGCTTGTGAATTAACTAAGAAAGTGTATTCGAATACCACCCAGATGTACACTCGTACAATAGACACGGCACTAGTTGGCACTAAAAGTCAATAAGTTCCATAATTATGGTAAGAAATTAAGCTGAGAACTTTGGCTCCAGAAAAAAACGACCGCTTGCTATTTATTTTAAGTTATTGCTAATGAATTAATAAATTAATACTAATAATACACGACTCGCATAAATGTCATTAGCAAGTAGATCACTTAATCGGATTAAGTTACTTGTTTAATGCATGCTAATGTAAAAGGTAAATGTTTACCTTCAATGTGTTCTTGAAAACTAATTACTTTTGCTATCAGTTCTGTGAAAATAATATAGATCTAGATATAATAGATAGGCAGTTCACGTTAAAATACAACAGAAAGATGGCCGCTTCTTAAATAATAGCGGAAATTTCCGATACAGATTTCCTAAAAATAAACAGCATAGAGTTATTTATAGTAACGTAATCACTTTCTATTTAGCTGTATTTAAACTCACATAGCATTTGTCTCTTTCTTTTAAAACAAGTTTTTAAAACTCAATATGATAGATTAAAACTGCATTTTAGATTACTCAATACATACGTAAATAATAAAAAAAAAAGAAAAAAAGATGTCTGATGAAATTTTTCTGTATGTCTTAGGAACCAAAACTATATTTATTTGTGTTGAAAATTAATTACATTAGAAGATGTTGAGTTAGGTGGAATTTTGCGATGGGGGAGAGGGGGGGTCTGTCTTTTTTTATATTAAGCTTGACGTCAGTGGAGTGCGAAATAGGGGGGCGGGTTAGTAAAAATTGCTGAATTGGCTTGCTTTTGTTTTTTAAAGCTACCACCCCTATAGTTACCATATTTTAAAATAGAAATAACGTGCTGCAACCTATTATGTTAAGGCACTGGTTATTTTAGGGGGGGGGTGACTAATAATCTTACAAATACCCCTTACGTTATTATGGACACAGTCAAACAAAGGTAGTACTTGACCTGCCTCTAAGATGCAGATAACTTGAGTGCCGTTTTAGTAATTGTACGCAATTTCCAAACAAACGACACCATTTTATTTAAATTCAGTTTAGTGGAATATTTTACCAATATAGTAAAGTACAAATACGATTTTTACATATTATTATAGATGACCGATAGACTATTGTCCTATTAGTAGAATAATGATATTACTAGTATAATAACTATATTAGTTTTGGGATAAAACTCATAATAGCCGAGTAAAAAAAGCTTTCATTTTCTTAATACCCTTAACAAATCAAATCTAGAAGTTAAAGTATTTAATAGTTTTTACATTGTTTTAACTTATTGTTACTTTTTAAAAGTGTTTTGGTAACAATCTTGACAGGTAAAAATAATTCTGTTAATTTTAAATAGTGTTACAAATTAAAAAATTAAACTGTTTTTCCTCCTGATTTGAAGTGATTTAAACTTCTATTACACTCCTCCCTCAATCCACCCCCCCCCCCCCTTCGCGGGCTATACAACCATACAACTTGATGAATCTACTAAATATAGTAAATAGAAAAACATATTGCGTTTTTTTTTTTAGTTTTCATTGACTTCTTAAGCTGCTAGAATCTAGTTGTCTTATGTGTTTTAACAAAAACATGATTGTTGAAGAAATTAGACGCTACATTGAGTTTATCGTATCTATAGTGATATGATACTATAAACAGTTTTGGGTATTTCCTATTCAAACGGCTGACTTTATAAAATTGTATATTAATTCTAGTATCGGAAATTCCCTAAATCATATGAGAAACCTCCATTCTTATTTAAATATTAAGGAATTCATTGTCCCACTTTACATTTATATTTTTACTTTTATAATTTCTTTTAAAATTTGAAAGTAGAGCTGTTACTGCAGGTAAGATCAGATATATATTTTACAAATATTCAATTAAATAAGCTCTAAAATCTGTAGCTTGTAATACTTATAATTTTTGCGATAATTAAAAAAATAAATCGGGACTGATCTCCCTAAACTTTCTCGAATATTGTTGTAAAAGTATAACACTAAGGTAGACGTGATGTTTAATCAATTTTTAAATAATTAAACTTTTTAAAATAGAGTAGAATCTCTAATGGGAAGGGCGAGGAGTTGCAGCTGCGATGAAACTGATATGATACATAATAGGAAATGATAATAAAGTTTTACTTATTAGAGTCCACCCAACTCTGATGGGTACCTAACTCACGTTAGGGAAAGTAAAGGCGGCTCGGCATAGCGCTGACCACACTATCACTTCATATGCCGAGGTCACAGAAACAAGTGAACTCTACTTCACTTGCCCCATAGACCGTCAGGTTTGAAAGGGAAACTTTACTTTTTACTTACTTATTATGCTATTTAATTCGCGCTAGGAAAATTTAAACATTTAGGTTTTGAGTCATTTCTTTCTTACATTAAACTGATTATATTACCATCATCTACTTTTACAACAATGGTTGGTTGTGTATAACAGTTTGTTCTTATTTATTGTATTTCTAATACGCATGAACATTGAATAGATTTTTAGATATTTCGTAAATCTTTGTGTGGCATTAATTTTTAGAAAAACAACAGGTCTATCTCCTAATAGGCTAAAATATTTGAGGTATAAATCAATTTTTGCTAAAAATATTAAG